ACCCAGAGTCACCCGTTGGGGGAGATGGGCGGCATACAAGTTTAATAATAAATAAATAAATCTTGTAACACCTTATATTTAACTCATGATTTTTTCCCTTGCCATACAAACTTAGATATATCCTTTTGCCACTGTTTAGATGGTGCATCCGTTGTCAAAACAGGTATTGTCCGAAACAAAAACATAAGAGGATTAGAGGGGATTTTAAATGCATTGTTTTTTCAGCCAATGAAAATTGTTTGGTTTAATTAAAACATAAAAAGTATAATAAATAAAATTATAAAAACAGTACCATTTAATTTACAATTATGCAAATGCCAGAAGAAAGAACAACAAATTAATAGCATCTAGACTAAATAATGTCAGAGCTTCCTAAGAGGAAGGTCCATGATGGGGGTGCTGCTAACAGTGAAGGACCCATTCCATGTTTCCATCAACCTTATCTCTTTTGGTGATGTGGCTCATGATATGGCCTCTTTTGCCCTGAAGCGTAGGATAGAATTATGCAGCTCTTGGGAAAAGAAATGCTTGCCTCTGACAAATGTTTTTGCAGAAATACTGATTATATTATTTACCGCTTCCTATAATTTAATTTTTAGGAGACCCTTACAGGAAGAGGCATTATGGAAGAATCTGAACTGACACTAATAAGTTCTAATGACATCAGCATTGCAGAATCAGAGCTTTTGCATGGTGATCATTCTGAAGTTAGAAACTGTCCCCAGGTAAAACTTGGGGGTGGGGTGGGGAGTGATAATAGACACATTTTCAATTGATCAGATTAATTATGAATTTATAAAAAAGGAAGAATGGTGGAATTATAAAGAATAGAGTGCTTTGAATTTGTAGACCTTTCTACTGCTTAATAAGGTATTTGACAAACTGAACTAAATATGGCAATGAAAATTTATACAGTGGTCCTCGCCTAACCACCATTTGTTTAGTAACCAAAGTTACAACGGTACTGAAAAAGCTACTTACAACTGGTCCTCACACTTATGACCTTCACAGTGCCCCACGGTCACGTGATTGCAATCCAGGTGGTTGGCAACCAGCTCACATTTACAACAGTTGCAGTGTCCCAGGGTCACGTGATTGCCATTTGCAACCTTCCCAGCTGGCTTCCAGCAAGCAAAATCAATGGGAAACCACATGATTCGCTTAACGATTGTGATGATTCCCTTAACAACCACTGCAAAAAATGTCGTGAAATCAGGTGTGGTCATGTGATGCCTCACTTAACGACCCACCCTATTTAGCGAATTTTCTAGTCCCTATTGTGGCCGTTAAGTGAGGACTACCTGTACTGTGGTATAGTACTCTCACAATGTGAATGATTAAGGAAAAAGTTATCGGCATCACAGTTGAAATCAAGTTGTGTGGAGACAGGGTGTCAGAAAATTATCAGCAGAATTCTGGCACAGTAGGTTTGAAATGGGTTTTGATGGAAGCGTAGCTTCTTGTCCTCTACAGCTTGTTTTTGGAGCTTAAACCTCCCTTTTAATTTGGCTTTCCACCCCATCAAATCCAACAGCCCTCTATAGATGAGTATGCAGTTACAGTCAGGTCCAGAAATATTGGGACATCAACACAATTCTAACATCTTTGGCTCTATACAAAGGCCCAGAGTTCATTTCAAGTGTGCTATTTGCATTTGGAATCTGTTGCTGTCAACTCCAGAACTGTGAAGGCTTTTTTAGATGTCGTTTGGCAAACTCTAATCTGGCCTCCAGAACTGTGAAGGCTTTTTTAGATGTCGTTTGGCAAACTCTAATCTGGCCTCCAGAACTGTGAAGGCTTTTTTAGATGTCGTTTGGCAAACTCTAATCTGGCCTCCAGAACTGTGAAGGCTTTTTTAGATGTCGTTTGGCAAACTCTAATCTGGCCTCCAGAACTGTGAAGGCTTTTTTAGATGTCGTTTGGCAAACTCTAATCTGGCCTCCAGAACTGTGAAGGCTTTTTTAGATGTCGTTTGGCAAACTCTAATCTGGCCTCCAGAACTGTGAAGGCTTTTTTAGATGTCGTTTGGCAAACTCTAATCTGGCCTCCAGAACTGTGAAGGCTTTTTTAGATGTCGTTTGGCAAACTCTAATCTGGCCTACATATGCAAACTGTTGTAATTCCTACACCGTTCACCTGAGTTGGATGTACATACCCTCAAATTAAAGCTGACAGTCTGCAGTTAAAGCACATTGTGTTTGTTTCATTCCAAATCCATTGTGGTAGTATATAGAGCCAAAGATGTTAGAATTGTGTCGATGTCCCAATATTTCTGGACCTGACTGTATGTGTGAGTAACCTGCTACTGAATGCAAGAAATTGTGAGTTGGGGAACAAAGCGTCCCAAAACTCCTTGTGGGAAAACTTCATTAAATAAGGATGCATGAAGTGGCTTCATGAACTGGAATGATCTTCTTTCAGACTATTCCCCAGGATGAAACTGCCACTGCTGCCAGTCAAAAGTGTCAAAGCAAGACATTTTACTCTAACAACTTTGGAGTGTGCTTACATTATCTGAGGCCAATTAAGTCATTGATTGAATTTGGCACAGCAGTTTTGATATGGAGCCTGGAAGCAGGGTATCCCTAGACCAGTGTTTCTCAACCTTGGCAGCATGAAGATGTGTGGACCTCAATTCCCAGAATTGTTGGCTGGGGAATTCTGGGAGTTGAAGTCTGCACATCTTCATGCTGCCAAGGTTGAGAAACACTGCCCTAGACTATGCTGCATCAAATAGGTGCTCTATTGAGGCTCAGTCAAACCAAAGCATACCTTCAGGGCATTGTTCTTTGCAAGTTAGCAAATGGGGAGACCATCAACCCCACAAACCCAACATCAGTCTAAGAAAATCTCTCATTGGAGAGTTTTTAACACTTCTATGCTTTGCTGCATTTCTGCAGCAATTTGTGCAGGATGCTATTTGCTTTGGGATTCTGTTTCTCCTTCCTTGCTTTCCATAGATTTTGAGAAGCTGTGCTGTTGTGATGGAATGGAATTATGAAGGCCAAGCTCAGGGAGATAAACATTTTCTTAGCTTGCCAGAACCGCGTTGGAGGAACAAGAGGATGAGACTGGCACCTCCCTGAGGAAGTCACACTGTTGTGACTGGAGGACTTTGGGAACTGGGGTTTGAGTCTGGGAAGATTGATGTCAGGTCTA